TTGCATACCGTTATACAAATGAAAAGCTAATTCGGTGAATTTATTTTCAGAAACGTAGTTTTGCTATGCAGTGGCTTAATTATGTGAGCACAAGTGTATATTCATCGTCGAACTATTTAACAGTCAATTATTATTTGTTGTAATTATGTATAACATGAGTTTCACCAATTTTCATCCATAAGCTAACCTTTTAACCAGTGTAGTAACTGTTAGCATTCGGGTAGCACCCGTGTATACTTACACACATTATTAAAAATGAAAGATGGATATTGAAAACGACATACATATATTTGGTGTTTCTTGATTTCCAGCATGTGCCAAGCAATGAAATACTCGCCCAAACGCAAATTCTCTATTGGATTTATTTTTGCATTCTGAATTGCTGCGCCTTGATGACATATTATTGCATGAAATATTAGCAACCTCATGGCATTAATGTATGTACATAATATTTGTTTTTATTTCAATTTTACTTTAAAAATGTAGATAAAAGAGACGTGCCAAAGAATGCTAACGGACATATCTACAACTGTGTAGATTAAGGTATAAACATACAGTTAGTTCAATCATTATAAGCGAATGTTTTTGCAGTTATGACCGAATCACACCCAACAAATCAGGCGCCACGAGCTCGGAATGCTGATAAAGAGCAAGCGCTAAGCGATAGCGGTTCTATGTGGGGATTGCTTTCGTTTATGTTGACATTTTATWTGTACTCCGTTCTGCTAATCGAAAGCTAACTTAATTAAAAATAACTGCATTATTTTTCTATAGACCGTAATGCTACATGTAGACATATGTATATATGTATGTGTGTATATTACTCAAATTTGCAMACTTGCATAAGCAAAAGCGGTAAAAAGTCTTTAAAATTTATATGTCTTTTAATTTTAGTATTTCGTGTGGCCTCCTTTATTTTGAGTCACGCAAAAAATTCGAATTGACATAGAATCAGCTGGGCTTTTGTAAGGTGTCTGGCCCGATCTCATCCTAACGTTGAAGAATCGCATTTGGGAGTTCGAGGAGACTTTGGTATTGTTTTATTTGAGTAGGTTTTGCCAGAAAGTATATCCCCAAGGTTCTCAATGTTGAACAAAACCACTTTTTCTATTGTCACAAAGCATTATTTTGCCGGAAAATGTGCTCTTTCTCAAGCGAGTTTTCAAAATAACTCACCAACACAACTTCTAATAACTCTATGTAGATTTCGGAATTCGGAATTGCCGATTATCCAAAATTAGGAAAAGCTATCTAAACCATATAATTTTAAAATTATCATGGTATAGTTACTAATACGAGTACAAACGTGTAAACAAATGTGTATAAACAAATGTCTACCACTGTATAATACAGTGAGAGTTTCAACATTCTATGCGTTATTTACAGTTTTCAATGAGTCCGCTTTCACGTATTGTTGATGATACAAAAACAGTAAAATCATTCAATCCAAAAATATATTTTGGGCGATAATCCCGAATGCTATCAAGATCTTCTTAACTTATAATCACTCCCAACAAACCATTTTTTTATTATTTCTATACAATTATATTCCAAGATAAGGTGGGTTATAAATTACGAGGAAAGTGGCCTTAGTCAAYATTTTTCACAATACTGTACGCATTGTGTGCGTTCGTTATGACTTTTATTATGGTAATGAATGTCCACTGAAGTTGAAAATCAATTGATTGGCATTAATTAATGTTTATTTTATGAAACGACGACGCAACATAAATTTGAAGCGCGAAACAAACTGAAACCGAATTTTGAATAAAAWGCCGGTAGCTCGTACAATTGGTTGATATGTATGTGTTCATGTTGGGTTACATTTATTCATTTACTACTGTTCGCATATCGAGATTCTTCGTAACGTTCATCTTCACGTCACGGCTTGCTCTAAAGCTTCATACATATTTACGCAGTCAATGCATTATTCACGAGCATTGCACGAGCCTTGTAGGCAAATGAATAAGATTTTAATGTTATTTACGAAACAGGTCTCCACTTCATGCCTACACTTGCATTTGCGTGGGTCGATGTGAGGCATGAAATAATCAAAAATCAAAAGTGTGCTTTTATTAGATTTTAGGAAAGGTCAACAATTCTTTGAGAATTATGTTATATCTATGATAGTGGAACTTAGTAATTTACTTATCTGCTTTACTCCGACAACCCAACTTCAGGTATACCGAGATAAACAAGAGCACGTAATATCCATTAATTTCTTAATTGAAGTAATAATACTCTGAATGGTTTACGAGCTGCTTGCTTATAAGTCACAAAAAATGTAAAAGTTTAAAAGGAATGAGTACTTATAGATGTAATGAATTAACAATCGCCTTACCCATAAGTGTTGACAGTGCTGTTATATAGTATTGAATTTTAGATATCTCCATAATAATAGGCATTTCAATGATTTTCTATTTGTATTTATTTAGTGAARTTCTGTCCTAAGTTCTTTGCTTATTGTCTATAGAAATCATTAGTTTTTATACATGTATGTATATATGTAAGCATTTATAAATACATTTAAATGACTTAGCCGTCTTAAGCACTTTACAACTTCAAACACTTGTAATTAAGTGAAATTGTTATCGCAGTTAAGGCTGACACCCTTTTGCATTTTTTCAAATTTCTTACACGCTGCAGTTGAAGTGCAGCCATGATAGTATAATCCCATCTTAAGTGTTTAAGTTTTATATAACATCTAATCGAGTATTATCGAAAAATTATAAAGAAAAAAAGGTTAAGCAAATACTCCAAACAATTGTAAGAAGCTCGAGTTAGTATTATCACTTCTCTAGAGATCGTATAACTCGAATAGAAGTAGTAAATCTTAAAATTGTATACTCGACTGAAAGCACTCTCAACTTTGACTCTCGTTCAAATTTTTGAGAACTTTTCCAACTGACACTATGATGATTTCGATAAACAAGTGGTCTGAGATGATCAAGTGGTAAAATGTTTAGTGCCAGACTTTACCAAAAAGAAGTGCTTATTATTATTAAATAATAAAATACACATGTATGTATATAATATACATTGTATGAATCAGTTAAGGACTTCACGCTTTGTAATCCCCAAATTTATTTTCGGTTTCCTGCAATCATTTTGGCAATAAACAGTTGCTTTTAAGAAAGGGTGGGGCAAAAGAGTAATTCCTTTAATTTGATACCTTTTTATTGATTGCAGCATTTATAAATACATACGTATATATATACATATTTAAAAATGTATTTCCATTCACGAGAACATTCGCTTTCGCAAAACTTAGCGTTATCATAAAACTGTATAAGTCGGTGTAGATTTTTTGAGCGCTACGTACATACATATATTTCCGCATGCAAACCTCTGCAAGTCGTTATATATTTATCCATACATATACATATGTATAATTGTTAATAGGTACAATGACGGTCATGCGTAGGGTAACACTATTATTGAAATGGGAAAAGAATATGTGTAACTTGTTGCTTAACGGATCAGCTGATTGATTTGAAAAATGAAACATTTAGATTTTTTCTAATTTCAAGTCTAAAAATTCCCCTTAATTTCTTCACCATTTCAAGGGCATTTAAAATTTTTCAAAATACAACAAAAGCGCGATGGTTGAGTATTTCCATGGATTAACAGTAGTAAGAAAATAAAAATATTTTGAGGTTTTTTATGCAAGCATTCATGTTAATTTCTTAATTGTTTTTGTTAATATTCATATGCGTGCCGCTTCGATAAAAATAAAATTTTCTTCGAATGTGTGGACGGACATTTTCATTTATACACTTTGCGAGTGCATGCACATACATGAACGTACATACACATGTGTTCATGTGCATGACTATTATATAATATGTATATACATACATACATAGATTTTTCAAAATAATTTAAACATTGTAAATAAAAAGCCATGCCAATTGACATCAAAATAGGTAACAAGCCGTAGACGAAAATAAAGGGTAAACGGACAAAATATATAGTACATATGTATGTAAATGCTCATACAATGATAATACAAGGTGGAAAGATAKAAGAAGTTCAATGATTTTTTCCTTCGGCATTATAAAATCATATGAATGAATTCGTTTGAGATAAATTATTTTTTTCAAGGAGTGTTTATTTAATTCCTTCTCTTTTCTTTATGTTACGCAGTCCGTATTTGCTGCATTATTTATGACATTATTTCGTTTGCACGGTTAGAATTTAAGTACAAGAAAAATAAATCTTAGCTTTTAGCAATATCTTTACACAATTATTGAAATGTCTTCAATGAATGCATTTTTTTWTAGATTTCGCCGTCACAACGCCGTCCAAAATAGTATTTTATGATGAACACTGGCAGGAGGTGACATCATCAGCTCATCAGTTCGAACATATTGGTGCCATCACATTTGATGAAGCCGAAGAGAAAGTGTATTTCACCGATGAAGTGCAAAACAACGGCAGCATTTTCTCGCTAATGATACCGAAAGACTACGAAGATCCGCATTTAATAGAGAAGATGTTACAGCGCACCAAAAACGAAGCTGTTCGTTCGCTTGCGTACGACCCATTCGATCGGAATCTCTACTGGAGTGACATGTTGAATAAGAAAATCTTCGTGGTATCTGTTGATGCTAACGCTTTCACCACACCAAAAGTGTTCCTAGATTTCAGCCATGAAAACACTCAACCCGATGGTATTGCTATTGATTTTTGCCGTCGTACGCTCTTTTGGACTAACTCAAATTTTACCAATTCAWGTATTGAGCGTATTGGCTTGAATGGTAGCGAACGTAAGGTGATTGTGCGCGGAGAAATGTATGCGCCGCATGGTATAGTCGTCGATCAGTTGACTGATCGTATATATTATGTGGTGGATCAGCAGGGTATACATTTTTCGGTGGAGAGTGCAAATTTGGATGGCAGTGATCGGCAAGTGATACTGAAGGGTCTTAATAATGAACCCTTTAGTTTGGCTGTAACGAAGGATGCAATTTTCTGGACCGATCACACAAACCGGGCAATTTGGGGTCATGCAAAATTCATTAACGAAACAGAAGGTGGCGCAAATATGATACTAAAGTATCAGGATAGACCGCGTGGCATAGTCGCACGGATACATTACCTTACCAATTCCCTAAATGATGAACACTGCCACAAAGTGGTTGCTACTATTAAGAATCGTATTCTATCAATTGCTCCACCAACGAACAGTACGTTGGATATGGGCGCGTATGTCTTACGTAAAAAGTATTGCTTGAATGGCGGCGAATTTGTGGCGAAAACAACAAGCTGTATCTGTAAGATCGGTTTCAAAGGTACACGTTGTGAGATCAATGAGTGCTTCAATCATTGTGTACACGGCACGTGTGTGATCTCCTCGCTGGGTTTGCCGACATGCGAATGCCCTCGCAGCCATTTCGGCCCACGCTGTCAGTGGTACAAGTGTGCCAGTCATTGCATGAATGATGGTCACTGTATAATTGAGGATTCAGGTGAACCGAGTTGCGAGTGCAAAGAAAATTATGGTGGAGCGCATTGTGAATATAATTCTACCGAGATTTGTGCGCTKTATTGCAAAATCTTGAAATTGGAACCGGATACGAATGTGCCCTACGGTTGTCATGACATGTAAGTGCAACAAATAAAACACTCTAAAAGCATTTAGGTTATGTTTTGGTTAGTGATAGTAAAAATTATTGAAATATGTCTCTATTTCTCTTCAATTCCAGTTGTGAAGAGCTCGTTCAACATAGTGAAAATGGTGCAGAGACTTATGCAATTCCGAAGTTTGAACATTTGGAAATGTGCCAGCAAGTAGATCCTTGGACTAGTACCGTCATCGTTGTGTTCGTATGCGGTGTGGTCGCTTCTTTAGGCTTAATGCTTCTAATCGTACAAGGATTGCGTCGTTTCTACAAACCAGCGCGCCCACGCATAAAGAAAACTTTCGTGGTGCGCAAACAAGCTTCTCCCTCAACGGACACACCGCTTACCAATCGCCCTGTCGCGACCGAACAATGTGAAATTACAATAGAAAATTGTTGCAACATGAATATCTGCGACACAGTAAGTCTTTCATCCCGAAAGATTGAACCTTAAATATAATTTTTGTTTGTCAAAAGTGATTCATTGAATTAATTAAAAAAAAAATTATATTCTTTTTTATAGCCTTGCTTCGATTCAAAGTTATTGGAACAAACACTCTCACGCAATGGCAAGGTCAAAGAAGACAAGAAAATGCTAATAAATAGCATGGATGATGAACTTTATTAGTACAGCATTTAAACATGTGCCAACGCAGGAATCGCTTGCGCTGCGGRTACGGTACGCGCAGTCAGGGACTGGCATACTTCTTCTGCGYGCAATAAACGGAGAACATCCACAAGAGGCCTTACAATGAAGCAACAAAAGAGATCGTGCAAAAGTAGAACAAAACAAAAGAGGAATTGCCAAGAGAGATTGATCGATTTGAAAAATGGGAATGTGGATTTTATGTCATGGACATACACATGTAGATAGCACGAGTTCCTCGTCCGTGACAGTAGATCCAAGAAGTGCAACAACGGATAGCTTTAAATAGAGTTATATACTCTCATGTCACAAATAGTAAAATTCATGTACTTATTTTTTTGAAACACTTACTTAATCGTTTCATTATTATTACTGCAATACTGCATAGTCTTTGCTTTTTATTTTAGTTCAGACAATCTAACATTACTGCAACATTAACTCCTCGTTATAGTTGAATTTTTGAATTATTTATTTCGGGAGTCACATACAATTTATTTAATTTTGCTTTTATTAGTTGATTTAAAAAATCGAGACCAATGAAGGCTGTAAACACTTTTAAAAGTGTTGTAAACATATATAGTACTATATGTATATATGTACATTTTAAATTTTGTTACTTAAAATAAAAATAATGCACTGATTCCAAAATGGCAGCTAAGCTAATTAAATTTTAAAAATAACAAACAAATCAATATAATATATCTTTAATTTAGTTATAACAAAAGGTAGTAGTAGGGGTCGCTGGAAGTTTTTTGCTATGAATTATGCGGAAAATAACTTTAAATGGACGAAGTCTACCAACTGGTAAGATAATTTTCTTAAAGTTGCCCCACATTGGAAATCTAGATAATATCACTATGGTGAATTATATTACAAGTTAGTATACRATCGTATGTACCTAAAACATTAACGTTAACATCGTTTGTTTCAAGAAGTTATTGAACGTTTCAAGCCAAATAYAGTCTAAATCGTATTTGCCAATGAACTTTTTTTCCTCGCAACAATAAAAACATATAATTTTTCTAAACAAACATGAGTACATATGTATATACTAAAGTACTTTCTACTTATTTGGAGTTGTGTTGCTAATGAGATTAGCGTATGCCATAGAATAGCCCTTGAATATTACACACATTATAATATCTAACTTTTACAAACACATTTGCACATATGTGCATATTAAATATGTATGCTTACATGTGCTCTCTGCCATTATCATAGTTATATTAGTTATGTTTAAAAATAAATGCTTAGAAAGAATAATTGTAACATTTTTTTCCTTTTGGGTCTTATTACTTAATACACACATTTACACATATGATACACATCGGAATACAATTAAATAGACCACAGCTGCGTCCATGAATATGCATATGTTGTATGTACATATATTGTATGTAAATAGTACGTACAGCTGTAGTAATAAATTTATGTATATATGTATTTGTTTGCGGCCGTGGAATTATTTTCATTTAAAGTTATTTGAATTTTCACAGAGAGAGCTGTGATCTTGGTTTTGGTTAATTAAAATGTTAGTGTAATTTATTGAATAAAAATAAAAATGCATTAGTTATTTGTTATTTAATCATTTTGGTGTGATCGGGAATTCTTTATGGTATGTGATGGAAAACAACACCACTGTGCAGCAAATAAATTCATGGTATATGAGTGGGTATTGTCTTCACACAAACCATTGTTTTCCTTTTTAAGACGGTTTGAAAATATTCATACATACTTTGTACATATGTACATTCGTATAAATTGTTGTTACTAATCAACTTACTGTTATTTTACTCGACTTGAAGCAAAAACAGATGGAATTCAAGATKTGCTTACCGAGAACGGAACTGTACATATTTCTGTTATTTTAATTCAAATTTTTAATTGACAAAATGGAACGATATCAAATGAATATATATTTAATTAAATAAATTGTCGACCGGCAATATGGTTGAAAGAGCATTTCACTGAATGCACCCCAAGATTTATATACAAACTTGCCATATGATTTCTGACAGCTAAAACGTCAAACAAAAATAAAAAAAAACGAAATACAATAAAAAATTTCACTTCCTTCAATACGAGGACAAATCAAATTTATTTAAAAAGTAGGTAAATTTTAATGTCTAGGTTCCCAGAATCATAGCAAAAAGAGCTGAATTCCCCTTAAAGACTTTCACAAATATAAAATCTACAAAAAAAAACAATTAAAATATAGTGTGATAAGTCAGTTGTGAAGTTGTGGAAAATCGACGAATGTACAAAAAACCTTATTAGAAAAAAGGAATCCAGTAGAAGTGAAACGAAGACGTTTGTTATTTTGTGGCATAAAGTAAAATTGAATCAATATTGCTTTCTGTCGAATACGTGATATTAAAATAGTAAATTTTGTTTACATAGTAAGTAATGCCTTAACTGTTTGATAATGCATTAATAATTTACATATTGGTATATTGGAATACCCSTAATAATTAAACACAATACTTCCAAATATGTTATTGAAATCTTATTGCTGTAAAAGTCAAACACATTTTTCTTTAAGCTTTATGAATGTAACGAAGGAGACTTTAGAAATGTGGACTAAATTTTCATTAGCTATAAACACTGGCATTGCCAATGGTTTGGAAAGCTTTAAAAAGAGTGTTTTGGCTTTTGAAAACATTACATCRTATGAATTTGATTAGCTAATCTGGTGCCTTTTTACTTACAGATCCTTGCAACCATCGAATTGGTCAAGCTAAATCCTAGTGACGTCATCACATATATTTTCGCCACGCCTTGAAATGAGTGGCAAAGTTCGTTTAAAGGAAAATGGGTATCTMGATGAAGACCCAATGACACTGCAAGATATCATTTATAAATATATATGTGAAAACCTAGATGTAATAAGTTCACCCAACGTGTGTGGCACCCTACGTCAACTAAATGAGGGAATCGTTCTTCCAAATGACATTTGCGATCGACTGTTAAAAGCATGTCAACGTTTTCGTCGCCAATTGGGTGATGATGTGATAAATATTTTTCAGGATAGGACACGAACCTCGTTAAAAATTGTGCACTTGAGAAATAGTACTGTGACTAATACAGGTGAGAAATGCATCAACTTTATTGCACTTCCACGTTCCAAGTACATTTGCATTGTAGGTATTTGGAAAATGCAATCAATGATGAAATTCGTTACATTTAAAATCTCTGAAATATAAATAYGCTTCACACATTCATATGTACACACATGCACACACATATATATGATCATATATGCAAAAACTTTAGATAGCGGTTCTACTTAATTGATTAAGTTGGAATTGAATTTGAATAAAACGTCATTGGCCTTCTAATAAACATAACATACATACATAAACCACTTTCTAACCGCTGTGAAATGTAAGAGTCAAGCATAGAAATTTAATTTTGCAAAGATTAGCTTAACATTGCATACATACATATGAACGTATGTACCTTAATGCGTTAGGTTAAAGTGAACTAACTAAAATTTGACTTTGGATTCATTGCTTCTTTGTAATGGGGTCAATAAAAATGATAGTTTTTATATAGTCAATTTACTTGCATTAATATCATGAATTTCGCTATTTCTACACAGGTTTGGAGATGATTATGCGCCACAAGTTGTATTCCCTTACGCTATGGTACTGCAATCAAATAAATGTGCAATCGGCCCAGCTGCTAACGTTATACGGTGAAGGGCTTCGCTCATTAGAACTCGGTATTAATGCGCACATGCTGCAAAACTCTGAGCCAATTGAGAAAGAGCCCGTAGATTTTGAGTTCAATTGCCCGCATCTTCGCCGATTAGTTTTAAATGGTGTAGTGCTGCATAATGGCTTGCAACTCAATTGCCTGTTTGAACTGACCCATCTCGATTTGACATCCTGCGTATTAGTGGGTTTCAGTTTGGAAGTGCTAGCAAGCCTGCCACTGCTGCATACCTTAATCTTATTTAATGTGTGGCCAATCGCTAATCAATTACAAGCAATTTGCTTGTTGCGCCGATTGCGTACATTGGACATTTCAATTAGTAATTCTGGCAATGGACATGGAACCTACGATTTGCCCGACCAAACGTTGGAAATGATAATGAATAACTTACGAGAACTTACGCACTTAGATATTTCGGGTACAAATCTAGCTGGTAATGGGGTGGCAACAAAAGAGTCAAATTTTAAATTGCGCACCGACATACCGGGGCTGGAATCGCGWATACAGCGGCCATTACAGTTTTTGGGTCTCTATCATACGGCGCATTCGGCTTGTAAGCGACACGATATACCGGCGAATGAGGTATGGAAATTTATTTTACCCACAAATATATTATAGTAAAAATATCTATGCATATATACAAAAGATTGCGGGCGACGCCGATGAACATCAAATACTTACTGCGGCAAAGTATTACTACGACAGACCAATGCTTCTAACGAGAGTAAGTGTTGACTTGCAGGCATAAGATAATTAATTTTTTCATATTAGTAACTTTGAACTTTTTATTTAATCTAGGTTTTAAATGACCTCTACCACCTTTTTCGATTTGAAATCTGTAAGGATATACATCTGGCATTGGATGCAGTGCTTACAGCTATGGATAGACATTTGAAATTCAAGCATATGCAAATTTCGGGAAGGTAAATTGAAAGATTTTGTAGTGTTCTATTAGATATACTATATATGTAAATTTTCTATTACAGTGCTACGCTGTTTTACATAGTTAAAGGTAGCGAGCGCTCAAAATTCGGCACTTCCTTGCGTCATCACATTATTCGTACCATACTCAACGGAATGGAGACGCATCTTACTGATGATACGATGCTTCGAAATGGCTATCTCACGTTAACRCAATTCCAGATGCCAAATGATGTCGTAAGTTTCATTGTATTCCCATAAAATGCCTAGTTAAAAAAACAACAAACATTTTCAGCTGTTCGTGTATGAGCGTCTCATAAAGGTCTTACTGCATGGTGTCTCAAAGACTGAGCAAGAAGGCTTTGTGCAGAGGATAGCAATATATTTATTGAACACTTTAGCGTGTCAGGTGGATGGCAAGCAAAAACTGTTCCTAGGCGAGCTGGGTGTCGTTAGTGTAAGTATCATTCGGGAATTGCGTAACCCGATTGCTCTAGAAAAGTAGGAAAGCAGCACCAGCTCCGTGCATCATGCATGTGGATGATATTAAACGAAGTTTTTGTAACTTTCTTCCTTTAATCAGACAATGTTAAACTTAATTAAGGATCGTTTAACGCGGTCGGTATTCGATGATGTCATGGAAGTGGCATGGTCAACAATGTGGAATGTAACCGATGAGACTGCAATAAATTGTAGAAGATTTTTAGAGGGACGCGGAATGGAGTATTTCTTGAAATGCCTGCGTGTAAGTAAAATCTATCTCTGTGATCACCGTTTATTCCTCTTTCCATTATGTGTGTTTACTAAAACTGTTCTAGACCTTCCCCGATCGTGATGAATTATTGAGGAATATGATGGGCCTCTTGGGTAATGTCGCGGAAGTTAAATCGTTGCGACCAAAACTCATGACACAAGAATTTATAGAAGTCTTTCGCAATTTATTAGTATCGGCAAGCGATGGTATCGAAGTAAGTAAACGCTATAAATTATATTTGAACATTCAATTGTCATAACTAAACGACATAATTCACCCTAGGTAAGTTACAACGCGGCGGGTGTGCTGGCGCACATCGCTTCAGATGGACCTGAGGCATGGACAATACCATCGCCAAGTCGGGATAGCGTGCTCATACACTTAGTGGAAGCTATTCGACGTTGGGATATAAAAAGTGAAAGGAACATTAATTATCGTAGCTTTGAGCCGATTTTGGGATTGGTACGCTGCTATGAGACGCCTCAGTGCCAACATTGGGCTGTTTGGGCTCTAGCCAATTTGACGCAGGTATACAATTTTGTTACCTGTATTTATATATGAAATATTCAATTAATGCAATTGTGTTTTAGGTTTACCCAGAAAAATATTGCCAGCTGGTGAAAGAGGAACACGGTATTGAAATATTGACTGAATTGATTCAAGATCCACGACCATACGAGGATATAAAATTAATTGCGCGCAAAGTAATTGAAAAGTGTACACATTGGCCAAATTGGTTGCTAGACGGTTAAAATCGAGACAGTTATGTAAATGAATGAAAAATCAAAATTGGTGAGAGTTGTGTAGAGCACATCACCGAATAACAAGTGAGCTAAGCTAACTAATTAGAGCTAACGGAAGCGATCGGCGCTCGCATAGGCATACACGAGCGAGTATAGGAATTTGTGTAAATTTGTCCTCTACTTCCTCTTAAGAAATGTTTATTTTTAAATGGTATACTCTTTATTTAAATTATACACAAACGATTATATTACATTATTATTAAACAATGTAAAATTATTAAGGTAAGACCGAAGTCGCGATAAGAAATTCATGGGTTAAGTAAGCTAAATAATAATAATAATAAAAAAGAAAACAGTGAATTTGCGGCAAAGCAATGTACGGAGACATGAGACTTCATCGTTCCAATGTCTACGTCACATGTATATAGGTTATGTTTGCTCGAACTAAGCTATTTAATAATCAATTAGAGAAACTACACAAATAGCATTGCTTATCGGAGCTGTTCGCAACTGTGGCGTTTTTTTCATTATAAACTCAAAGAGATTAACCGCTCATTTAAAGCAATGAGTAATCGCAAAAAAATATACATATATAAAAAATGTATAATAAAACTCTACCCTAGGTGGTGTTCTTAGCATTAATATATATACATATGTATTCAAACATTTATCATTCATTACATAGGTCATGTATAAAACATACAAACATAAAGTTTATTGCAGATTCGCTCACCATTGCATAACATAACATAATATACAATGTAAATCCATTATGAAATTCAGCTTGTTTTCATGCCAATCACAATTGTAAATATTCCGTATAAAGAAGCCGTTATAGAGTTTTATTATTGTTTTTACTAAAATACTTTACGATTGTTCTTTCAAAAGTTGAGCCGTGCGGAAATAGTGAAAAGAGTGCAAGAGTTAGGTGACATGCCAAGCTCTTTAAATTTTATAATGCTTTACTTTTCTAATCCAAACGTTTATACACACACACACATATCGTAATCTGAAATGCAAAATAACGTAACAACATTTTCGGAAATTTACAGAGGCATGAATGAAACACGAAATAAAATGGAAAACGAGTGAAAAAATATTTTAATATTGGTTAAAACTGGTTTACATCTGAGAGCAGAACCTGAAAAAGGTGAACATATGTAATATTATGTATGTAGTTGAAAGTAATGAAGCGTAATCAATAAGACACTTAATTTCGAATACGTTATTTTGCATTATATATATATATATAATAATATATCATTATATATACGATATACACTTTTATTAGTTTGGCTGAGTTTAACTTTAGATTGCATAAATTAAACACAGTTACTTTTCATGAAAATAGATGATGTATGTTCTTGTCGAAGGGTGAAGCAGAAGTAAGATTATCTGAGAAATGCTTTAAACTCACGCCCGCCGCACCACTTTCATCATAAGCTCTTTGAAGTATAATAAAAGCAGAGGAATAGCAACATACATACATACATACATACGCACTCCCAACTTTGAYAGAGAAAACTTCGTTTTGAATGTAAAATAAATCGTAATAAAAATATTGAAACTAAAAAACGCATATTTTCTTTCTGCATTTTCCAAACTGTTATAAAATACACACGCATACATACATACATTACTGTACTATAAGGTATCACTTGCAATTTATTTCAATACAAATTGATTTTTCTACATGAAAGTATACAGAATTTGTCAACGCGTCAAAATTGAATAAAATTATAATTTTTTTACACAAAATTTAWCCAAAAAATAAAAAAGAAAACTGCGAGAAATAAAAAGCATCTAGCGGCGACGACGGCGTGAGCGCGATCGTCTGCCACGACTGCGACGCCTCTTACTGCCGCTGCGGCGTCGCCTCCGGCCACCCCGGTCGTATATGCCTCCACCCTCCTCATAATCAGCGGCATCTGTTGGCTGCATGTAAAATAAGAATCCAAAAATTGCCATTAAATGTCACTACCGATCGAGTCAACACATGTGGCCGTCGCCATGACTTACACTCACCTGCAGTTTGCGTGATTTTCTTGTGGCCACAACATCGTCCTCCGAGCTGGAGATACTTAGCTCATCCGACAGCTCGTCATGATGATTGCCCTCATGATAATCGTAAGTGTCACTTTTGCGCGTGCTTGTCGTAGCGCTTTTCGTTTTACTCATTTTCCTGGCTCTTCACTGCCTGGTTGGTCTGTTTGTTGATTGCGGCTCACCCGCCGACTCCTTTGATTTCTTGTTTGAGTCGTGCTCGTGTAAAACGTGCGCGTTCGTCCTTTTTCTTATTCTGCTTTTTTATCTCTTTTCGCACAAAACTTTTAATTTAACGGCCTTTGCAATTTTTTGGCACGTAAAATTTTTTTATTAAAATATTTAAAAAAATATATAAACGTTAATCAAGTTCGAAACAATCTATCGAATGAGAAAATTTTTGAAATTTACAAGTCAACAGTTTTCGAAATCTAGTCATCGGTGTCTATGATCGGAAATGCGCAAGTATAGGTTTTTTTTTTTAATACAGTATAGGTTGGTTACTTGCAGCGGGAATAAAAGGTGATACATTTGTCTCTTCTGCATGATTAAACTTGGCTAATACCAGCCTTCTGTGCAAGCTGACTCTAGTTGGTGATTTCAAAGGYATTCTTCACTTGCCTTCTATGTACTTCCGTATTGAATATAGCCAGAACCTGGGCGTATTTCTGTTCAGTGGTGATACTTCCTAATGGGTTCGCTAGCCTTATTCACCTTACTTTGTTGTTCTATTTGGCCGAGACCTATGGATGTCATCAGCAGTTTGGTTCTTCGAAAGGTTTTCTTTCTTGCTTAAATTATTTTATTCACAATCCCTTTAAAGGCATTGACTTTTCATTCAAAGTCSTCATATTTTTGCCTGCGGAGCTTCGAATTTTATAGCATTGTTGCTATCTTCACCATCGAAGATTTTTGCAGTTTTGACACCAAAGACCAGGAGAAGCTTAGAATAAGTTTCTAGTGTGGTCTAAAAAAGGAATGAAGGTGATAGAATATAAGCTAAGGATCCTAATTCAATAAATTTATATTTTATATCTCTTGAAAATTTGTAAATAACTTCCGCTTTTCTTATCTCATCTGTTTTTTATATCTATTACATACTCATATATATACTAAGTACATACATATGTACAAAATAACTCGTTAATAAAATTCCACCATTAAGAAAGCTATCTCAATAAATTACAATGCAAGCATCTAAAAGCACAGAAGAAACGAATAATATAAATAAAAGGCTACACACATATACTATAGATATACTATACATACAAATGTATATGTGCGAAAACAAACTCACACGGCACACGCAAAATCAAAATGTAAACAACCCCACTGGCGAATAGCAAAACCAAATTCGTTTGACATGCACACACATACACACATTGAATGTAAACAACAGTAACTTTCAAAAATCGCGCCGGTTGTCCCCACATTTATCAGCTTATTGGTATTCCACATACTTTCTGCCCTCTTCCGTATTTCAGCTGAAGGCGCAGCAATGGATGAGGTGAGGGTGGCAGATACACACTTTCAAATAAGCGGGTTGTTATAAGAGGCATTCTCCCCAGAGATGAATGTGCAGAAGAACAACCCTTACAGAGATGATTATGRCCAAAACAAAACAGTTGAGGTGACCAGACGTTTACGTTTGTAAAAAATCAGTTCGTTAAAGAAAATTTTGGAACCATTATTGAATACCATGAACTGTATCTATAGGTTGTGTTACATGTGATTGTTGTGAAAGTAAGAAGGCTTTATTTGCTATTATCTAGCTTTATTTCGAAGCTTCTCTTTTTAACTTCCTGCCTAACTCGGTTCAAGAGTATATTTATATGTATATACCATATAGTATATGTATGTATGTATATCGAGTTATTGAAGGAGAGAGTGGTGAGGTCGGGGACAGTTCCTCACAGAGTATAAAATTTATCGTATAGTTCTGTAAAAGTGGTCACCTTATCGCTGAAAATGTCAAAATTTCTTCTGCTATGATAAAGTTTGACATTTTCTTAAACGAGTATATAGTATGACCATAAGTACGTTATTTAATACAAAAAAGAAGCTCGCCAGTTTTGTCAGTTTGGTCACCCAAATTGCTGCTTCCGACGTCGTCCAAAACAAACCGCCTAGCGACGCAGACGGCATTTCAGCCACCATACGAATTCAGTTATCATTTTGTCGTCTTCCCGTTTGCGGGTACTGCATGTCTAACGGTTTGTCACTGCGCGCTTTTTGAAACTTTTGCCGGTCGCGTGYTCGTGTTCAGACATCAAACGAGAAAGTAAAGAAAAAATTGTGAACCAAAACAGTGCGAATAAATGGTGAAAATATAGTGCCAAAGTATGTTTGTATGTGTCAGTGGCTTATGTGAATTTAAATTGTTAATAAATGTGCGCATTGTAAGTGAGACTGTTTTGCATTCTGAAGCCTTTGCATATGCATAGACATCCTAAATCAGACATGTGTGTGTGTGTCAATKTAAATTTCGAGGGAGCATTRTCTTGCATGCAGTACAGAATGMGAATTTTCAGTCCTTCGGTTGACTCGTCAACTGCCTTATCGACTTTAATGCCATTTACCTTTGTTATGATAATATTATATGCAGTTTCAGGCGTTGTGGACACCGTCGGTCCGGTAATTAAAGGTTTCCGACCCTCTATGTCTATTGTTGTGGTTGTTGTGTGGTCGCGGTCGTTGCACGCTTCATCGACGTCACCAAACGTGTACCAACGGACGTCACATACTGTTGTCGGTTCTCGCACTCGCCACCGGCGACTGGTGCAGTCACACTTCCATTCAAATATTATTGTGCTTTATTGTATTTAGCTCTTTTATTAGCGGTGGCTTTGTGTTTCAGTATTGATTTTTCCCCAAGCTTTGAGGCGGCCTGGCCGGTTGCCGTCCTGAAGTGTTGTAAAGTGTGGAAAGTTGAGAAATGCTGAGAGGCGATGTTTGCACTCAACACCTAATGAAGTGGCTTAACTCAGGTGAAGTGATTAAAGAAATTCATGCCGAATAACATGTTAGGATAAACAAACGGAATATTGAATATTTAGTGATATTCTTTGTAGAACTTTAAACTAAATGTATATATAATATGTGAGTTATTTAAATGTACGTATGCATATTTAAGAATTTGAGGATGTCATAGACATTTAAAATATTATTGTCAGAAAACCTTTAAAGACTAATATATTTGCGAGTGTTCTTGAATTATTTTTGAAAATATCTGTTGGCTTTCCAGGACAATTTGGATGAATTTTTAATTGAAGCATTGGTAATCATGCCGTGAACAGAGTTTTCCACGAAGCTTGTAACACCCAAAAGGTAGCGTCGGAAATTCTATAAAATGTATATGTATATGTATAAATGATTGGCATGATGATCTGATTCAAGTTAGCTATGTATGTCCACCTGTCTGTGCAATGTCGAACTAGTCCCTCACCCAGAAGGAAGGGTCGGAGACCCTATAAAGTATATATATAAATGATCAGTATGTCGAGCTGAGTCGATTTAGCCATGCCCGTCTGTCTGTCCGTCTGTCTGTATATATACGAACTAGTTCCTCAGTTTTTAAGATATCTTTTAGAAATTTTGCAAACGTCATTTTCCCTTTAAGAAGCTGCTTATTTGTCGGAACTGTCGATATGGGACCACTATAACATATAGCTGCTATGCAAACTGAATGATCGAAATCAAGTTCTTGTATGGAAAACTTTCACATTTGATAAGCTATATGCACGAAATTTGGTATAARTTATTTTCTAAGGCAACAATATAATCTCCAAAGAAATTGTTCAGATCGGATTACTATAGCATATAGCTTCCTTACAAACTGAACACATAGTTGCTAACAGAAAAACACCTGTGAAGGGTATTTAGCTTCGGTGCAACCGAAGTTAACGGTTTTTCTTGTTTTCTGAACATTTCTCGCTTTAATTCACTTTGGTTTTAGAGGTGATGAAAAAAGTTTTTCCTTCCTGGTAAGTCTCAGTTCTTCTAGTCATTATCAGCATATCAATTTTATTTGCTCCCAAGGAATTTTACCATTGTGTACCATTAAATAAATAAACTGAAATTCAGGCGAACTTTCGTATAGCGAAACTTAAGCTGACAAAAATATACTTCGTTATATATGTAGAAAACTCGTCATGTAGAATTGTTTCCAAAGGTTGAAAACCTCAAACATACTGAAAAATAATTGAAATTGCGTTGCGAACTAGTTCGTTTTAAAAAAACCTTCGCTGTAGAGAAGTTCGAACGTACTCATATCGGGYTTTATGATTGATTTCTAAGTGTCGTTTCGGGCATTTTTAATATGACGTCTACAAATTATTCATGAACAACCATTACATTCAACTAAATTGAGAGTTTGGTGTGGGTTTTGGCCTGGTGGAATCATTGGCCCGTTAGAAGAAGTTGATCTTGACAACATCTGGCTACAACAAGACAAGGCTTCATGCCACCTAGCAAGTACAACAACCGAATTATTACGAGAAAGGATTGGYGATTTCGCCATGATTTGACATCATTAGATCAACAGAACCTAATTGTATCGACTGTACTTCACACTAAATAWAAAAAAATAAAACATTTGAATGTCATTAACAACTAGTGTGTGTATGTTTGAAAAAAACATGTCACTCTTATTGGAAAACCCTGTACATGTATGCATATACAACAATATACCTATAAAACATATTAAAAGAAGTAAGTCTGTACGTGCATATGTGTGTTGGGASGTGTATTAAATATGAAACGACGAAATGTAGATCATTCACTTCCGTGGAAAAACGTGTTTTCGTGCTTTTGGCGTGTTCAAACCTGTTCATTATGGATTTACAAAGTTGCTTTATTGCCAAAGGGCGAGCAGAAATGATGATGTAAACAAGGAAGGGGTTAGGATACAAGTATGAGCACGAGACCATAGTAATTGGCGTTGTAGTGGAGGTAAATTCATTTATTTGCGAGCAAATTAGAGCTAATAATAATTTTTACAAATATCGAAAATTAATGGAATTTCTCTATAGAAGGGTAATTGTTGAAGGGSAAACACACACCTTGAGGTGGCTAAACTGCATTTGAGGGTGCATGTGGCTATACATATGTATTTATGATCGAGTGTAAATTGCTTTTGAAATAAGCGGAAGTAATAAAATTATTTCCCGGGCATGAAATAGACTCTGGCATTGAAGGCCGGAAGTAGTCTATGATTAAACGGGCTTTTCGCTTTGGCCCCACAAATGTTTACGCAGAAGCCACGGTGAGAGCTTCAACGTGTAATTCGATGAAACGAGGGCGGAAATTGAAATTTAGAGTAAAAACGACTGTAAGCACAAATAACACGGCAACACAAAACGGTTAGTGTATAGTCG